GTTAGTAAGGTGGGTTATGGGGATTATAATAGGGCTCCTGGGGGATACTAAGTAGACTTACTAAGTCAAAAGGGCCTCCAAGTACTACTGCTACTACTACTACTGCTACTGCTACTACTACTAGTACTGCTACTACCACCACTCCCACTACCGCTACCACTACTTGCTGTACTAATTGGCTACCGTTTGTGATAGTACCAGTACCAGTACCAGTATGAGGTACTAGTACGAGTACGAGTACTAGGAACAGTAACGGCAACAGTAACAGTAACAGTGACACCGTATGCTGTAAGCAAAATGCCGAGGCATTACCGGCTTGGTCTGAGCTTGTGTTTGCTGCAGGACTGACACTACTAGTACTAGCTAGTAGCAGTTTTGGTACTAATTAGTAACGGCACCATCATCATTCGATCATTTCTACACGATTACTATTACCCCTATGGCCAGTTTTCGTGTTGTTATTGTTACTATTTTTGTACTACAACCACGACGACGAATGCGAAAGAAAGCAGCGTGCGCACGAGATTGGGCTTCGCGGCCCTTTTTATGCACAGGTCCTCCGATTCTTAGACCATGAATGCAGAAACAGTAGGAAGACTCTTCAGAACACGAGCAACAGGAGTTCTGACACCGGAACCTTTCTCCAGTACGTAGAATAGTAGCAACAACACTTGGGGCGTCCAGGTTGCCGTCTGACTTTCCTCACATTGCATGGCCGTGCGACATGGCCCACAGGTTGAGTTGTGATAACAGGCGTTGTCACAGCTCGTCCCCGCCTTGGGCAACATGTGGGTAGTTCTATAAATTAGGGTCCTTTTTGGGGGCTTTTGATACAGGTGCCGTAGTATACTGGGGACTTAAAAAGGGACCCTAATTTAGAGAACTATCCATGTCAGATACCTGAATCGCCCAACAAGGTCACGTTGCAAGCGATTCGATCTGGCTCTTTCTTGCCTGTCGGTGTGTGTCCATTGCACCTGAATCTTGTCTTTGGGGGTGGATGAGGTGAGTATCTCTTGGAATTTTTCAGGCATGGGTTCCAATTGGCACTCTCGTCCTTTCATGTCGCGATTTCGTGGCTTGTCGCAGGAAGCTGACGATAAGCGAGAACTTGATAGCCAGCGGGATGGCTGTGGTCGGTGCCACGGTGGTCACACATCCCATCGACGTTGTGAAGGTGCAGCTCCAGCTCTCGGCCAAAGATGCCCAGGCACCACAGCGATGCAGAGATTTAAGCAGTTGGAGACCGCGTGAGTTGGAGAAGTTTTACGAACTGTGGTCGCCTTAAGGGTATGAGGAACAAGCGGGGATGCTGTCATCCCTTGGAGCATGTGAGCCAGGCGGACTCCTTCAGCATCCGGCGCTTCGTGAGCTTCTGGGCGAAGTTCCAGTCCAAAGTGGGCCTGCCAGGCCTCTTCTCGGGCGTGCGAGCCGCGGGCCTGCGGGCGGCCACCTACGGCTCTGTCCGCATCGGCCTCTGTGAGCCACTGCAGCAAGCAGTGGGCAACAAGACCCAGGGCGCCCTGGCTGCTGGCGTACTGGCTACGGTGGTCGGGAACCCTTTCGAAGTCTTAAAAGTGCGCCTCCAAGCGCGGCCGGGTGCAGTTGGAGAGCTGCAGCTTCTTCGAAGCATGTTGCAGGAGGACCTTGTTGCGCCTGTTACACATCGCCTAAACCCTTTGATGCATCAGAAAAAGAAATTGCATTAGATGCCTTTAAAATGCGAGCAGAAGACCGCAGGAAGGCATCGCAGCCTTCGGGAGAGGCTTCGGCTGGGCGGCAGCACGATCTGCGCTGTTGACGGCAAGCCAAGTCGTGCCATACGAAGCTCGCCAACAACCGTGTCACCAGCTCGTCCATGTGCCAGTAAGGGTAAGAGCTTGGTAGTGCTTCTCGTTCCAGGGTCGGAAGCTCTTTTCGCTCGGGCCAATCGTTCTAGCCGATCATGCGGGACGGTCAGCACAACTATGAGTGCCACATGTGGGTGTCGCACAAGTGTCTTCGCAAAGAGGGCGAGGGTCCTTGAGCAGTCTTTCTGCCTTGTTTGGGCGTTAGGAACCTAAGCGAGCCCCAATGACGTTTTCGGACGGGCTGCGAAGTCTGCATGGATGACGCCTGATCAGCTCGCATCTCCCTCTCTCCCCCCCTCCATCCATCCACCCTGCCATCATCTAGCCTTTCATGCCGCTATCCAGTAAGGCTGATGTGCTGCGGATCAGAAGATCCGTTCTGTCAGTTTATTCGTTGACATGGTTTCAATGGCAGAACAAGCTGAAACGGCACTGCGAGCGATAATTTCCGACATTTTTTCGAGCATACTCCGTACGGTTGTGCACGAGGGTGTGTAACACTTTAGTAGCTGAAGAGAATCGGTTCGACTCAAACCTGACAAGTTGTGCATTAGAACCCACAGCCGTCCAGCGTTCTATCCCGCGGGTGAATATCGAGCACCGCACCAAAAGCCAGTGAGATGTACTTCAGAAAGCCATCGTCTTTGCCCATGGCATGGCACAAACGAGCCTGCGACCTCCGGAGATGTGTAGACAAGAGATAGTGATTGAAATTGCTCAGGGCTCGGCGAAGTCTGCCTTGCAAAACGCCGGGGTCCCCGAAGGAGCGTTAAGGTTTGGTGGGTACGGTTTCGGAGATTCTGGGTGGTTTTTCGTCCACATGCCTGAAGCGACGCGTTTTTCCCGCTCGTCTCTGCACGACTTCACTGCAGGAGGTGTGCTCCACATCCTAGCCAGCCTGGCCGCCGGAGTCGTTTCAACAACGGTGTCATGCCCAAAGATGGGGCGCGCAAGCAGCGTCTGAATCACAGACGACACGGATGCTGAGGTGACCGCGCCGGTTGATGTCCTGAAGACCAAGGCCCCAGAAGTTACCCTGTGCCTTCATCTCCTTCATGTGGGTAGTTGTCAAAATAAGGGTCCCATTTCGGGGTACCCTAAGTAATAGGTGCCGTATTATAGTAAGGACCCAAAAGGGGACCCTAATTTTGACAACCACCCAATGTGTCTGCGCCTTTTGAAGCCTTGAGAGCTGCAGGTCATGAGCTCGCAGGACGGAGCTCCTCTCAACATCCCCGGACTGGTCAGGAAGCAGGGGCCCTTCGTTTTCTTTAAGGCGCACGCCCGGGGGGCAGGGTGTTCCTGTCATGGAGCCTCATTATGAAGACTGCGACTGTCCTATGCTCCTCGTGCCTCGATGTGCCTTGGAGATTGAAAGCCAGGGGTGGCTGGCCAACTACGTGCGCATAGGCCCGCAAACGCTCTTCATCTTCGATACTTGGTCGGCGATTTGTATACAGATGCGGCCAGATCTACCTGAGACCGCTGCAAGAGAACCTAGGTGTTTTACGAGCAGTCTCGCCTGCTCGTGGAACAGTGGAGGAGATGACCTGAAGTCGCATCTTTTCCGGCATTCTGAGATTACTCAGTGCAGGCGACCTTGTAGGAGGCTCGCGCTTGGAGCGGGAGCTGACTTGTTTAGCAGTCGACAGCGAGAACCAAAAGCTTGCACATCTCTACCAGTTTCTGCTACTGTGGTGCATGGCGTTCTTCCGCGACGTTGTAGCCCATCGCATCCCATCGCGGCGTCCCCCTCCGTGCTGAGGTCATATGCCTGGCACATTGGTGTGTACCCTGCAGCCGAGGAGCGTTTGAGCTAAGCTTCGTGACCCAGCGAAGTTGGTGTACCATTGCTTGACCGGACCTGGAAGGACGCAGCCGTACTCGCAGCTCTCGGTTACTGCCCCACTTTGCGTTCTTGTACCTTTGTCCACCGGGAGCTGGCAAAGCTTACAAAGCAGGCATGGTTGTCTAAGCTTCTCTTGCTCAGGTGACCACCCCCGCAAACGTGGGGGCCTTTCTGCCAGGAGTCTCCATCATGTTCCCAGCTTGATCCTGCCAAGTCCTTGGTCCTGGAGCGAACATTATCAGCCCCAACACTTCCGAAGGGAGCTCGCTCCTCAGACCGAGTCAGAGCTTCGTGTCTTCTCTTGTGCCCTCCAAGAACCGAAGGAGCCCCTTCCAGAGCTCCGGAAGATCAACAATCCCAGATGGCGACGGTGAGCCTGAGCGCTTGCTTGGACCACTTTTCCCGAAGCCTTCTTGTTTCTATTCTTACATATGAATACTGTTTTTGTTGTTATTATTGTTTTTGTTATTATTGTTATAATGGCTATTCTTCCTCTTATCCTCAGAGCTTTTATTATCTCCTTCATGTGCACCAGGCCGAAGAGCAGCTCAGATGTCACACGCTACGCGGAGGCGCCCCTCGGCCTCAGCCTAGCAACAGTAGAGCCGCAAAGCAGCAGAACGTTCTCTGATGAAAAAAATACTATATAACAGCATAGTATATATATATATATATATGTGTATGTATATATATATATATATGGGTAATGT